CTAATAGATATTTATAGCTACTCAATGCTATCTAACTAAATATATTGTTTTAAATTTTCTTTTCAATATTAATCAAATAGTTACTGTAAGCAAGCTAGTATTTAATTTATTGTATTAATATATGAGAGATATTGTTTCTTTTATAATATGTATTCTGATATATATAAATAAAAAAAATAATATTTATCTACAAAAAAAAAATAATAATATCAATTTATATATTTATCATAACTATATATTATATATTATAAAAGAGAAAGTAAATACTAATACAGTAGTAAGATTTAAGTAATATAACTAATAGTTAGCTTTAGAAATTAATAAAATAATAATAATACAATCAATATTAAATTATCTAATAGTATTAAAAATAAGTAAAAATTTTTTATCTTTAGAATATTTCTAAATGATCTTTCTAAGTTTTTTATTCGAAAATATATAAAAGTATTAATATTTAATTAATAAACAAAATTAAAGTCTTTTTAAGTAATAATATAAATATGATTATCTAATTTAGTGTTCTTAGCATTAATCTTTATTGGTTTTATTAGTTTTTGAGCTATTATAATTAACAAATAAAAAATATTGTTTAAGTAAGCAAAACATAATTCATCCAACCAATTATATCATTGTAATCCACTTGTGAATTATAAATAAATAAACAAACATGTATTAATTAAACATTTATATCATAAATAACAACTATTAGATAACTCCAACAATAGAATTATTTTATGTTTTTAATCTTAGCTTAATTATAATATTTTTGACACCTGTTGCAATTATTTGTATATATGAATTTAAAGTGAAATATTTCTAGTAAAAGATTTTTTTTTATCTAAAAATATATAAGCCATAAAATTTATTTTATTGATTTTAGTTATTGTCTATTTATCATAATTTTACTAATATTGAATTATAATTATATTTTAGATTTGTATAGTTAGATCGCTACCTTTATTTAATATTGTGAAATTTGATATTATTTTTATTTAACATAATAATTTTTGAAGACAGTTCAATATATTACCATTAATAACCTTAGGAAAAACAATAAAGTAAAAGGTTGAAATGATTAATACTGAACAATAAAATTTAATTCTATATCTAATATCTTAATTATTAATTAAAAGATTTTATAAATTTATCAGATACTTAATCACTCTGCATATATATAATGACTTATTTTCTTGTTTAACTAATACATAGGACAGAAATATTTCTGCTTATTTCAGGCATTGGCTTGATAAACACTTGATATTTTTATCATGTAATGTAATGTCTAATTAAATTTCAGGCTTTAAAAAAATTCTCAAAAGCTTTTTTAAAATTTTCTGTAGATGGACCTTTATTATCGAGGAATTTATTTAAAGTGAAATGAAGAGTATCCTCCCTTTTTAGACAAAATTTAATTTTGAAGAAAGTATTCATAAAAAATTTACAATTGGTAAAAGATTTTTTAATAATGATAATAATTCTTCATATTCAAAGAATAATAATAAAACCAGAAACTTTATAGTAAATTTTGATATTTTGTACAAATTTTCAAAGCCTGCTTCAGTAGTCTATTTTCAAATTCTAGGATAAAAGTTGACATGACAGTCTTCATTATCTAAAGTTTTATTAATATCATCTTCAAGCTTATGTTAAATATTTTTTACTAGCTTTTGAAATTCTGTTGCAATACTGTAAGTGTTAATTACTTGGGAAGTGATGTAACGAGTAAATTCATATTCCAAAAGTCACCATTTTAATATGGTATTCAATTACAATTGGATTTTCAGTCATGAAAGATAGAATGGAGTGTAAAACAAGTGCCAAGGTCTTGTTATTACAATCAAAATGACATGTTAAAATGTGTGTTATTTTAATGTGTTGCTTACAATATTCAATAGGTTCATTAATCTAGGGGTTGAATCTGATTTTATAAAATTCAGATATATTCGAATATTAAAGAATAACTTATTCTTTATAAAGGTATCGAAATTCAGATTTATATCCGACTATGACATAGTACAGTACAATATATCCAGCTATGAATCCAGATATAATGTAATAATTATAGTTATTAATTTAAATATGAAAAAAGAATATTTGGATTATATATATATTGTTGATGTCTCTCTCGGCAAGTTTGTCGCTTCTCCTAAGCACTTCTCACATAATGTCTGGTAAGTGTTTGACTTCTCGACTTGAGGCGTGTAAGTTGTTTAGCCGAGTTCTACTAACGCTTTCCTTCTCTTTCTGTTGTTCGCTTCTCTTGATGAATCTTTACCACTTTTTCCTTTGTAATCTCAGCTGTCCTATCTCGCAACAAGTACTGAATTAGGTAAGTTAATTAGTTTTTACTTGGTTTGGCAATAATAAACACACGTTCTAATTAAGAAGATTTTAATTTAGGGAACAGTTTTTCTTATTATTCGTACTGTGTGCTACATGACTCTTTTTTTTGATTTCTCCTTTTTATCTTATTTCGTGTACCCTTGCTAAGCTACAATTATGCCATGCGATCCTCCTTAAGCTCCGATAGACTATTTGTAATTAATAAGCTTTTTTAAAGTTATGGCTAATTTAAGCTTCCTAAAATTATATCATTACTTTTACATGTCGCTATGGACTATAGGTCCCAGATTATTGCAAATCAGGGTACATGACATGCCAGAATGTGTTTGTGCAGTCACGTTTCACATCAGTTTCCCACTAATAATATAAACTAATAGCATTTTCTAATATAGGTACAGTATCAGTTTTTTTTATATATAAATTTCTTGTCACATTATAAATTTTTTTGCTAGAAATAACTACTACTGTATATTATACTAGGTAATCCTGAGATTGTTTGCTTTCAAACAGAATACGCACAAAATGATAGAGATTCAAAATATACACAGTGAACTAATAAATTTAAAGCCAATCTTCTTAATCTTATCGAGTAATCAAAAGAAGACTCTGGTTTTGAAATCATCACATCAAATTCAATAACAAGTTGAATAAAGCTGGAATGTCATTTAGTGGAAAAAATTTAAGTGGCATTCATATTGGTGGTGTGAATTTAAGTTACAGTTTATTTCAATGTACTCAATTTAAAGAAGCAGATTTAATTAATATTAATTTCAAGGGGGCATTCGGTAAATTTCCTTTTTTAGATCTTGAGAACGTTTGCCATTGCCATTCGGTAAATTTCCTTTTTTAGATCTTGAGAATGTTTGCCATTGCCATTACTATTTCCCAGATGGACATCTTCTTGTCATTGCTAATAAAAAAAAAAGTTCTCTTCATAATGTCGAAACATTAGAAAAGATACATACTTTTGAAGGACATACTAATACCGTTTGAAGTGTTACCTAATGGTACCCAACTGGCATCAGGCATATATAACAATACAGTACAGCTGTGGTCTACGATATCTAATAACTGCGTAGCCATTATATACTTTCACAAAGTGGTTATTATTCTTGATTGGAAGAATACAAAAGTAGGTGACCTTTTATTAACAGGTTGTTATAATAATGTCATGTAAAAAGAATAGATGATCAAACGTCTCAAGTTACTTTAAATTGAATATCCTGTAAAACTATGTTATGGATTTATAAAGCATATATTCAGAACGTGAAAGGTTTAGATTCTTTAAGTCAAAATGCTATAATACTCTAAGTAGTGCTTTATTTGTATTGTTAAATTTATATATTAATAAATAAGTATTTGCAATTACATTCCTTACATACTATAGTGTTTCGAATGGTCAGTTCTGGTCGTTTGATCCAATATGACACATTTAATACTGTAGTATTTCGAGTCGATTGTCAATCAAAACCCGTGGAAATTGTTTTAATCAACCAATCACCATATACAGTACTGTACGTACTATAATTATGAAATAATTTTGTATGCATCATAAATTTCGATTTTTTTGTGAGGATTTGTTTGTACTTTTTTTTTTGTAGGTGAAGCCTATATGCGCTATACATGTTTCATATGTTTTGTACGTAGAGTCAACCAAAATATAAGCAAAGGGACTTAATAGGTAAAGCCAAGAAGATATGCGCTGTATGTGTTTCATACATTTCGTATGTGGAGCCAACCGAAATATAAGAAAGGAGACTTAACAGGTGAAGCCGAAAAGATATGCGCTATATGTTTTTCATATGTTTTGTACATGAAGCCAACTGAAATATAAGCAAAGGGACTCAATATATGAAGCCAAAAAGATATGCGCTGTGCATGTTTCATACTGTGATGATTGTTTGGCATAACCATTAATGAGGTAAGGGTTTTTACAAAATTTAAAGTGTTTCAATTTGGCTTTGTAATTCACTGCCATTTATTTACTTTTGCTTTCATTTTTTTATATATTTTAGTTCGGACGGTTTTTACTTCGATTATCTAATGTCTTCTTATGATTCTCCCTAATTACAGTACATAATACTCGATCACAATGATTTTATATTACTTAACTGTTTTTATGATTCTCTCCTTGTTACCTAACTTTTAACACACTATTCTATTACTATTTTAACCATTTTCCACCACTTTCGCCTACAACTTTTCTATTATATCATCTCAAGTACCATTATAGAAATAGGTCCTTCACGGCACTACTCGCGACTATTAGTTACATGACTGGCGTCACGTCACGATTTTTACTTTTCTCACACTTATTTTATGTATATCACTCATAGAGTTTTTAGTTAGATGGATCAATTGTGATGGTCTTATCAGTGAATGCTGGTTGTCAATCAGAGGTTAAGTCATCGATCATCTTATTTCTTCATTTGTGTTTGATCTTACAGCTTGTCGGGCGAGTAACCTCCATAAAACTCATGATTAAATATTGATATAGCATGGCTTTTATGATGATTCATATCATTGGCTTAACTTTGCTGCCTCCTTTATTCCCACCTGATAGGAACTAGGACAGCAAGTGACATATTATTGATACTGTTTGGGTCTTGACTTATGTGCATGTATCAATGTTAGTGTAATTTTCCACAGGTACATTGTCACGGTTTCTTGGTCCTTATTCTGCATCTTCTGTCGCCACCATCTCTGAATTTGGCATTTCTTAAAAAGCTTATTTCTTTCATTTCCGGTCGAGTATCTCTAGGGTCCAGTTTATTGTCTGCAGAGTGTTTCGTGTGATGCTTTATCTTCCTCCTTGGTTTCAATTATCCGTGTGATGATTGATCATTTTCTTGTGCTGAAGAGTTCGTCGCATGGGTCGGCTTGTATAAGTGTTGTCTTTTTTTTACCTTCGAGGTATCCTTCAGCATTATTTTTCTCTTCACTGTTGTTGCTCTCATCATTTTTGGTCTTTAGGGTTCTGTCATTGTTGAGACATTTCTTCAGATCCTCACTTGGGTGGCCGGTTGTCATTTTCTCTGAGTTCGGGGTTACTAAAGGAGTGTTGCTGCAGCTTATGCTCTTGTTGTTCTTCCTGTCACTCGTTATTTGTACTAATTCTTCCTCTTTCATGCTTATCATTATTAGATTCCTACGTATGAGTTTGTGTCCTTCTTCTGGGTTGTGATGGACAGTCGTTTCCTTGTGTCGAAGGGTTTGTTGGATGGGTTATCGTATACAAATGTGGTCTCCTCTTCTGAGCATCTATTGCTTCCACAGTTTTTTATTGATGCATTGTCATGGCTCGTCTTTCAATCGCATTTCTCTTCCTTCAAAACGTTCTTTGTTTCATTCGTGGGTCACTATTGGCTTCTCTTCTCTTTTTGGTTTGTCTTCCACTTCATCGCGTAAGACATACCTTCAGGTTGGTTTCTTATTACCCTTTGGTTTTTCTTCCCCCTTGGGTTCTGTGTAACTATTCTGTCAGTTTCTTCTGGTTGGCTCACTATCTTGTTTATGTTGTCTTTTCCCATATCACCTTGATTTGATATGGCTTTGTCATCATCGGAATACTCCGTTGTTTCTCCTAGGTATTTGCCCGTGTCCTTTTGCACAGTTGGTATCTTGTCGGCGAGGTCTATTGTCCTGTTTATTTGTTTTGTCATCATGTCACTATTCTTTTGATTTAACATCCCAGCATCGGCATTTATCAAAGCTTTGTCGTAGGTGGATCTTAATGCTTTGTCTGGTAATTCTACTGGAGTATCCTTCCTGGGTAATCATCTGTATTTTTTCTGTGGATACGTTCTTATTTCGTGGGTCGGGGTGTCTTGTCGTCACTCTTGGTGTGTGATGGATGATCTAGCTCCTCTCTATTCTTTCTGAGTTGTGCTCCATTCATTTGTGGTAACCCTTGGGAACAACATTTCTTTCCTGGACAATCCTTGGCATCGTAGGTTCCCTAAATGCCTCTTTTTGACATAAACGTGTTTCTAATGGTGGGCAACTACAATACATCGTTCCTCAGTTTGACTATGAGCAACCATCTAACTGCTTCTTTAGAGTAATCGTTCTTAGAATAGAGCTTCTTAAGTAGCTTTCCAAACCTTTGGACATATCCAGTTATTGCTTCGTTCTTCCTCTGCTCGAAATTCTCTAATTCTGATTGTCATCGGTACCGTTGCTCAAGCAATGTGAAATGTCGTAGGAAGGCCGACACGAAGCTTCTTTTATCATTACACTTGTCCCAATAGACAAACTTCTCGCGATTATTCTTGTACCATTCTTTCACAATACCTTTCAGGTAATTACCTATTTCTTTCTACTTCTTTTTTCCTAACTAACCGTTGAATTTGGCAGCCTTTTCGTAGTGTTTTAACCATCGTTGTGAGTCTTCTCTGACTTTACTCTCAAAGGAAGATAATCTAACTCGATCAACTTCTATCCTTTCTTTTGGCTCCCTAACTTTTGTATTTCTCATGTTATCAAAAGTATATGCTAGCACTTGCAAGACGTCTAGCCGCTGGAGAAGTCTGGTAGTTACATCACCACCAATTTAAAAATTTATCGCTATTTAAAAGATTGTCACAGGTATCGCACAGATATTTTTGTTTATAACTATTTCAGGGTATTAGTATCATTCTAAGTCTTTATCGTCGGTTTTTCTTGTTGCACCTTTATTAGGTCGGGTCATTTTTTTCTTTAACTGCTACATAGGTGTCTAAAAGGATAAGGTAAGTAAAAGGAAAGTAAAATTATAAAGTCAGGTGGTAAATAAAGAATTTTATTAGTTTTTAATGTTTTTTTTTTCTTTATAGGGATCGGGAAAGTGTTAAAAAGGTGTTAACGTGAAAATATCGAGGTGGGTAATGAAGTATCGAATATCAGTCACCATCAAATTTGTGACAATCGATCAGAGAGTCTATCGCTAAAGTAGAGCAGAGTGTCATGTAACCATCGATGTGGTAAGAGATTTTATGAAGTTTAAAGCATGTTTGATTTGGCAGAATAAAAGATAATTCACTTCCTTTATTTACTTTCACTTTTATCTTTTATACATTTTAGTTGTGACAGTTTTTACATTCTGAAAAATATAGTAATATCGATTATCTAATGTCTTCTCATGATTCTTTCTAATTACATTAATCATCCTTCCCTCATTACCTAACTTTCTAACACACTATTCTACTACTATTTTAACAATTTCCCATCATTTTTTCTATTTTATCACCTCAAATATCATGATAGGAACAAGTTCTTTGCGATATTATTGTGACGATTAATCACGTGACTGGTGCCATATCACAATTTTTATCTTCCGAGAAGCTGAAAAGATATTAAAGTTGATTTGGCAGGAGGTTGGGTATGGAGGGTGGATACAAATAAGTTGCAGGTAGGATTTTTTTTTATATATTGACAAATTTTGTAGATATGGTTTGGTAGGAGGTCAGGGATGAAGGGTGGGTACAGGTAGGTCACAGATAGAATTTTTATTTTTATATACTAATAGATTTTGTAGGTATGGTTGAGATAAGATTTTTTTTATATAATAACAGATTTTGTAGGTATGGTTGGTAGATGGTTAGGGATGGTGGGTGGGTACAGGTAGGTCGCAGATAGAATTTTTATTTTATATACTGTCATATATCGTTTTTACCTCAGGAGAAAGATAAAGACGGAGAACTAGTAGCAGGGAGGCACTTTAGATGGACAGGGCCAATGTGGTATGCT